TGAGTAAGGTTGAAAGGACTTAGGACTGATAACTCGCTTTATTTCATGTTCCTTATTTGGTTGTGGACTTAGAGTATCCGGTTGTTTGTCCGAGTGTCGTTTGAACCTTAGTTATATATTATGTATATGTATTTAGATATAAAAGCTTTTCTCTCAGTTCAACACTCAGTCATTCAAACAACATTACTAGTAAACTATAATAGGTATAGTTTAGGAGATTACTACTCCCTACTTCTATTATAATGAAACATACAAGAGTCAGTTCATTCATGAGTCAATACAAACTTACTATTATGAGAAACAGAAAGAACATACTGTGATGAGAAACTAAGAGAACATACACCACACTATACAATAGAACATACTATACACTAGTACAGAGAGAACATATAATACACTAGAACATACTATACAAACACTAGAATACTATAACATAAATGTGAGCCACTACCTCATAGTATAGCAATCTACTGTTGTGTCACTCTTTGTAACCAGAGTCTCCTGGAGGGAGAGCGTGAATTTTTGTATAGATATATACAGGACTGACCGTCCTACACCTTGCTGCTAGCTACAGTGGGACCTGCAGGTCTACGGGTGACGAATGTCATACCATTTCGACGTCTTCGAGCGTCGTGTTTTACTAGTCGATCAAGTATGGTTATAATCATAACACATTATACCTCAATTAACAACTTGGTTTAAGGTAGTTAGTACAACAGTAGTTACTATATACCATACTACAGTACTACATTATTTTCCTATTACATTCACTTTGTGATCTTCTCACATAAACGATCATGTAAACTATATTTTGATAATGATAGTTAAACTTGGGAAAAACTCATACTTTTACAAAAGAACAAACATACAGAACAGTCGGGTCTTGGTAGAAGACTACATTTCAATAGAAAATATAGGATTTTCTAGGAAGTACAAACATTTACTACAAACATTTACATTTCACATTTACAAACACTTTCTTCAAACATATTAAAACATTTGACACTAAATACTTATGAACTCACCAGCTTAAATGTTGATCCTCTCTTTCAAAATAAGTTGTATTCTCAGGTCATCAGTAGACAGGTACCGATGGCAGGTTTTGAGAAGACAGAGCACTTTCAAACTCATCTTTATTTTGAGTATTCATTTTTTCTGTCTTATAAGCTATACACAGAATACACTTTTACTGAATTATATTATTAATGTAATGGATGATGTTGTTGCTTGTTTACTATTATGCATTGTTGTGATATTGTACATGAAGTCCTCCGCCCCCGAATGTTTTCGCCAATTCGGTTTGGGGGTGTAACACACACCCTAAAATTTAGTGTTTAGTGACTCTGGGCGTACTCCTAGTACGTTGGGTGTACGTTTCCAATCACCCGCGACCATTTACTCCATCTATGTTGGGCGTACTCTCGAGCTGGCCACCTTGCATGCATGGGATCATCTTGTCACTAATTTTCCACTAAGGGCTAAAATCGACAATAAATACAAAGTGTTATAACTCCTTTATTCCAAGTTCGTTTCCGACGAACATAATATCCACGAAAAGGTGGCTGGAAGCCCTACGCTCCCCTTGACACCTCCAAGCCTAAAACCTTTCGAATAAATCTCGAGACCCATAAAAGACTGAATCGCCCTTACCCCTTTGGTTTCCGAGGCCCCAAAAGAGTAATTTCAAACAAGGCGTTACAATGTAGACTAGAAATGCACTCTAGAGCTTAATAAGGACCTATTTAGGGACTTATTGCATGAATGGGGCTTGGAACTAATAAAGTTTGCAACTTTCAGCCATGAAAAGTCATGAAGGGGTTAGATCTAGCATAATAACCCTTGGAGCCTTCAATATCTTTGCTAGCCCGACCAAAATCCCAAAAATCATGCTAAAACTTCCATTAAAGAGATCTAGATGATAACAAAGCAAGATGTCAACTTTATACCTCAAGAAGACTACCATTGGTGAAGAGTTTCTGGATCTGTACTCCTTCTTCTAAGCTAGATGTATCCAACTTCCAAGCTTCTTCCAAAGAACCACCAAAATCAATTCTCAAATCTCTCACACACTCAATCTAGAAAGGATAAATGAACTTAGGGTTTCTAGATAAAAGGAGACTGGTAATGAGGCTAGCCATGGGGAATTAAGTCCTTTAAATAGGGTGTAACACCCTAAAATTAGGGTTTCGTCTTCAGCCGCCAACTCGTCAAGTTAGGACTCTCCGACTCGTCGAGTTTGGTCATTAAAAATCGTGGCCACAAAATTCTCGACATGACGAGTTGGAGCTCCCTAACTCGTCAAGTTCCCACAAAATTCCAATATTTATTAGAAATGATTTATACCTGAACCAAGCGTTACATTTGTTTTTATATTATTTGCTTCTATTTTTTTTTCGTATTTTTCACTTTTTCTTGATTTTTTTTAAAAAAATATATAAAACGTATTAATATATTTGAGTATATTACAATTTTAGTAATTTATAGTTTTTGTAATTTTTTATATTTTGATTCGAGTAAATAAAAAAGTTATATTTATATTTGTAATTTCGGTCCAACTTATTTTCTTTCTATTTTTTTTTTGTTCTTGAGTGCTATTATATTAAGTTATGGAAAAATGAAAATTTAAAAACAAACAAACAAACAACTTATTTATTTGAGAATTAATATTAAACTATGTGATATAACTTGTAAATTTAAATTCAAGATAATATTTTTCAATTTGATATTACTGCAAAAGAAATAATAAAAGTCTGTCTTTACAAAAAAAATTGTTATAATATTTTAAATTAAATTCAAGTTCATTTATTTGAATCAAAATAAATAAAGACATTAGAAAAACCATAAATAAGTAACACTGAAAAAAAAGGCAAAAAAAATCAAATTTGTTGAAAAATAAAGTTATATATATATATATATATATATATATATATATATATATATATATATATATATATATATATATATATATATATAATAAACGAAATATAAAGTTAAAAATCATGTGATGTAATTTTTTACAAACTATAGAGACCAAAATTTGAACTTAAAACAATTTTATACTGATTTTCTATATATATATATATATATATATATATATATATATATATATATATATATATATATATATATATATATATATATATATATATATATATATATAACAGATTTAATCATGAAATTCGTTAAGTAGATTAGAATAATAATTCTACAAGAAAATTGTGGTCATACGAATAAAAAAAATTGGATTTTTTCCAATTAGATTTTAAAATTCTAGGATTTTTATGATATACTTTATTTAATTAGAAAAATATAGCTAAATACATATCAATTGAAGGCAAATAGGCAACAAACTGCGCTATTAGCCCTTTCTGGATGGCAAATCAATTCTTTTGAAAATAACATTTGTGGATCTATGATATATGACATTAGAATGCATGACTCGTTGGACTCTGTTGAGGAGCTCCACCGTCTATGGTGCGAGAAAATCAAATATATCGAATGCAAAATGTACAAACACATGTTGATTTTCTATACATGTATTTTCGTGTTTTACCACTTTGTATGCAACGGCTTTCAAAGTGACATGCTCTACTGTGAAATATCCGCTCCCCAAACCAATGAGAGGAGAGACCCCAGTATGATATTAAACTTTTTTTAATTTTTATCGCTAACTAAAAAGAATTTAAAAAATAAATATTATATTTTCTTATTAAAGAATTTAAACAATTAAATATTGACAAAACTGCACAAATGGTCCCTGTGGTTAGCTAAAAATTGCCAATTTGGTCCAAAAAAGTTTGGACTAGCATCAGAGGTCCAAACTTTTCATTTTCTTGCAAGTTTGGTCCAATTTGCTTTAAACATTTGTATAATGACAGATTTGCCCCTGAATTTATTCTTTATATTTTCTTTTTTGTATATTTTTATTATAGAAATTAATAAAATACTCTCTCTCTCTCTCTCTCTCTCTCTCTCTCTCTCTCTCTTTCTCTCTCCCCGTTACAATGTCCTCTCTCTCTCTCTCTCTCAGTTGAAGAAAAACCTACACACGACGGGTTTTAACCACCATAAACCACCGATGCCACTACCCCATCTTCCCCACTGTTTTCTGCGATTAGCCCACCCACACCTTCTCCGATCATTGCTAATTGATTCCCTCCCTTTTCCCTCTTCATTTGTCGTCGAACAAAAAACTAACTGAGGCAGACTCGCCTCCCCATTGCCACCGCTGCCAACGTAAAAACCAGCCACCACCACCTGCTACCGTCGAGATTTCCACTAACACCTTGTTGCTTTCGTCCTTATTCCCTCTACAAACCAGTGAACACTAGAGGTGCTCTAATAATTCCTTCATCAGAATTTGGAATTTGATATGATTCCCACAAACAAATTGATTTTTTAGGGATAAATACTCAGACACAAATCAAATTCCATAAATGATAAACATACACAAATACAGTGAGGTAGAAGATCGGTGCACCCCCATTGCTCACCGATCGAGATAGAAGAAGAAAAAAGATACACAGTCGGAGACGAAGATCGAACAGATATTAAACAGATTAATTTCTATAATAAAAATATTTAAAAAAGAAAATACAAAGGATAAATTCAGGGGCAAAACTGTCATTATAAAAATGTTTAAAACAAATTGGACCAAACTCGCAAGAAAATGAAAAGTTTGGACTTCTAGTGCTAGTCCAAACTTTTTTGGACCAAAGTGGTAATTTTCTGCTAACCACAGGGACCATTTGTGCAGTTTTGTCTTAAATATAAATAACATTATTCCCTTTTGAGTTACCGTTTACGAAGGCTCTTTCATGATTAGTATTTTCAATTACTTGGGAAAAAAAATGAGCGTCGAAACTTGAAAGTCGTCACCTCTTTGTTAATTTTGACTAGCCAATCCAAACACGCCACGTATCACTTGCCGTCGCCTCCTTCCCCATCGTCCCCACACCCTATAAATAACATATATTCCTGCAAGCCACCATAACCGCCATAGCCTTTCTTCTTCTTTCACCTCTCTCAAAACTTCCCCTTGCAATGAAACTAGACCAAGAACTCAACCAACACGGCCGTGACATCATCAGAACCATCGAAGTAGTTCAATCTGTCACCAAGCTATCAACCACCGCCGTTGATAACTTCGATTCGAATGGGGAAGAGCTCTACACGCCTCCGCTTAATTTCTCCATGGTTGATAATGGCATATTCCGTTCAGGATTCCCCGATACCGCTAACTTCTCGTTTCTCAAAACCCTAGGCCTTCGCTCCATCGTGTAAGTCGCTATTTTGTGTGTAATTATATATCAATTGTTCTCTGTAGCTACAGGTGGTGTCGGAATAGTATTGTAAATTCATTCAAATCTGTAATTGGAGATGATTACGAGGTTTTTCAGTCGACGGCTGGATTGATGTTTAGTCATGTCGCTGCTTCGGATCAACTTGCGTGCTTAATTTAAGAGAGAATTTGACAGTTTATTTGGTGTTTTGTGTTTCTAGATATTTGTGTCCTGAACCATATCCGGAGCATAACATGGAATTTCTGAAGGCTAATCGGATCCAATTGTTTCAATTCGGAATTGAAGGCACCAAGGTATGGATCATAGTCTTATGATTGCAGTAATTGTTTACTTCTTTAGCTGCTTAGATTTGAAAATTACTTCAATTCTGTATTCCCCTCGTAGCTGAATTCGTTGCTTTTCTTCATGATTCACATCAATAACTTATATAATTCATACTTCAGTTTCCTACACTTCATAAATTCCTTTCTCAAGTTCCTACATTAATCACGAGCTTCTGGAATCTATCAGAAGCACTTGTTATTCACTTATTCTACCATATCCATGAAAATTATTCCGTTTGTTGCTTGAGATTTGATTTCCAAAGTAGCTTATTTCCTTTCTTAGTGAATAGCGATAGATAGTTGTACGTATCTTCAACTTGTTAATTCTGTTCAACATTCAAAACATGCATTGTCTCCATTATTTTGGAAGGTAATCTTCATCTCAGAACATACATGTGCATCTGTCCCCTTTCAATGTTCCTTTTTCACAAATATTCAAAGTTCATTGGGACCATAGATACTCTAGAACTAGAACAAGATTCCAAAAAAACAAACACTTCTTCCAATCAAGATCCTTAAGTTCATTCATTCATTCATTTATCCCATTATCAATGCAGGAACCTTTTGTTAATATCCCAGAGGACACAATCCGTGAAGCATTAAAAGTTGTTCTAGATGTAAGAAATCACCCATTGTTGATTCATTGCAAAAGAGGCAAGGTAAGAGAGATATAGTCTGTGTCAATGTCTATGTCATATTATTTTCAATTTAGGTCCCTTAAGTTTGACAATAGTACTTGTTTCCACCTTTTGGAATTCAGCATCGAACTGGTTGTTTAGTGGGATGCTTGAGAAAAATACAGAGATGGTGTTTGACATCTATTTTTGATGAGTATCAAAGGTTTGCAGCAGCTAAGGCTAGGGTTTCAGATCAAAGGTTTATGGAGTTATTTGATGCCTCTGGGTTTAAGGATATTCCACCATCTCCATGTTCATGTACCAAAAGGAGGTAAAACTGGAATAGGTGTTTCCAATGATGGTGGAATAAGACTGGAATTAGTGTTTCCATTCCCGGATCAAAATATGTTTAGCAATTCAGGAATGGTGTTTTCCATTCCTTGAGGATTACTTAAATTAGGTTTTCCTGGTGGTAGGAGTAAATTAGTTAATGTATTTAATTTAAAAAAAAAAAAAAAAATTGAAAATTAAAGTATTTATGAGATGGTTGCCTTATTCATCTCTAATTTATGTGCATTCAGCTGTTTTTACGGTTTTTACCACTGTGAATGAATGTCACCGATGTCTGAGAGAAACAATTTATGTTGAACATTGTAACTGTTATAGCAGTTTAAAGTAGCCCTGTCGAAAATACCCGATACCCGAATTACCCGCCCGATTTTTTCGGGTAACGGGTAAATCGGGTCGGGTAAATCGGGTATCGGGTAAATTTTTCCGGGTAATCGGGTTACCCGATTTTTCGGGTCGGGTAAAGGGTACATTTTTTGGATTTCGGGTATACCCGAATTACCCAAATTATTTTAAAATTTCATTTTTCTTATAGAGCTTGTATTATATAGCAAGTATTTGATCACACTTAAACTAATATCATTATTATAAAACATAAATATATTTATTATGACAATACGATACTAACAATATTAAAAGTAATTTTTATATATCATCACGTTCTTTAAAACTTAACTGTTTTCTATATTATAGTTTTTATTACAATTAACAAACTCATTATCTTGACGAAACTTTAAAACATGGCAAAACTTATGACTACATTTATCTTAAACATTTTAAACTTTTAAATTAAGATCTTTAGGTATTTGTTTTTTTAACATCTTATTAGATTAGATTAAGTCGTTACAAAAATACTTGATATCTCATGTATTATTGAGTAGAAAATCTCAATGTTCAAAGTTTGAGTAACTTCGTTTATGTCTCGTTTGTTTATATAAACAAGACTAATAAAGCACGACGTATTTATTCCATTAAATTTATTTTTAGGTGAAATTCAAAAAAAAAAAAATCATATATTTCGGGTAATACCCGAATTACCCAAACCCGACCCGATACCCGAATTACCCAAACTCGAATTACCCGAATTTAGTTTGGGTAGGGTAACGGGTAATTTTTCTAACATGAAAAACCCGAATTACCCGATTCGAATTACCCGAAACCCGAAAAAATTACCCGTTCAACACCCCTAGTTTAAAGTGGTCACAATAAAAAAAAAATTATTAAAATTAATTGGGTTTGGTGGAAGAGAAAAGGTGTTCTTTGTAAATAGAAAATATTCTACTAAAGCTACTAAACTTTGAGAATTACACATAGAAAAAAGGATTTTATGTAGAAAAATCTCATTATTTTTGGGAAAAATTTCCATGAAATCTTAAAAAAAGTTATACAGAATAATTTCATTATTTTTGAAAAATCACATAATCTATCATTTGCTATTAAAATAAAATAAAAAATTGATTTTTTTTCGCTAATTTGAGTAAAATGTTAAATAATTAGGATTTTTGTTAAAAAAAAATTGGAAATTTATCAAAAAAAAAGAATTCAAAATAATAGGACTTTTCTAGATAAAACTCTAGAAAAATTTATAAAAGTTTGGTATTTTCATTAGAATTTTGAGTTACAATGATAAAACCTAAAAATAACCAAAATATAACATTTTTTTAAAAAGATTGCCAAAAAAATACAAAAGAAAAAACCTTCACATCTTTTGTGTGCTACTTGATAAAATGACAATAATTGGAGGGCCCAATCATTAAATGACTACTTTTTTAATTATTATCACCAAAATAAACGTTTTTATTAGTGTTTAATTATAGAGTCTAAATTATATGAAAAGTACATTAGAGGCATCTCTAATTATCGATCTCCAATTATCAAACCATATGTATTTATACTTTTTTTTAGGCTTATACCCCTTTTTAATTCTTACCATACCTCCTAATCATTACATTATTTATTTTTAAATAACCATAATTATTATATACTAATGATTCCTTTTTATTCTCATCACTAGGTGTGAGAGTTGTGGACTACGGGTTTATTAAATATTAAATATTTAAAAAAAGTTACTTTTATATAAATGCGAACGATATAATGAATAAATAAATAATTCAATTTATACTAATAAAAAGTTATTGACATATTTTAAATAATGATGTTGAAAATTAAGGTGTAAACATTAAATATTTTTTAAATTAATTTTTGAAATAAATACAAATGAAATGATGAATAAGCAGTTATTAAATATATACAGATAAATAAAATTATTGACATATTGTAAATAGTTGTTATGAATCAAAATTTTCAAATACTTCTTTGAAGATGGGAACTGATTTTTCCAAGGATTATTTTACTTTATCTACTGAATAATTAATTGATGGACTATTATACCCTTCAAGTGGATCAAATGCATTTTACTTCATCTACTGAATAATTAATTGATGGACTATTATACCCTTCAAGTGGATCAAATGGGTCAAGCCAGGTGACCAATATGAGTTACGTTTTGTAAGAATTACATGGTTAAAAAATTTTGGTTTGTCACTTCAAGCACTTGATGTAGTTATCTATGCCACCATTGCAAACCAATTTGGAAGAATCCAGGGCCGGTCCAGACGGTGGGCAACCCGAGCGACCGCCCAGGGCCCACGACTCCAGGGGCCCAAAATTTATGGGTTATTTAGTTTATATATATAAAAAATTATTACCTAAATGATTTTTAGCGCCTAAAGTTGGTTGAAACTCAAATTAGCTAAAAATATAAACAATTTAGTTTGCTTGTTATTGCTAATTGAACACGTCTATATTAAAGAATAAATTATGTTTTTTTGAATATTTATTATATTTGTCTTTGAGGGGCCATTTTTTTTCTTTTTGCCTCGGGCATCATATATGTTTGGACCGGCCCTGGAAGAATCGTTACCCCCATGGATGGTGTCAAAAACGTTTTTGACATATCACATGACAAGATAGGTTTCTTACCTCCTCAAGGAGGATGATAAATAGGGAAATCCAAATCATCGTTGGCTCTAAAACAAATAGGGTGGGTGTCATGGAGGACTTGTACAGTTGTACCCTTTGAAACTTAGTCCAACTTCATGGTGTAATTAATTTGAAGAAAAAAAATTAGATATGATCATCAAAGTAAAGTAAATCTCAAATTTGGTGTAGTTCCAAGTTGCATAGTAGCGTGCGTGTTTTATGGCCTTAATTTATTGTGGAATTCACTTCCATATGAGTATTAATTATTCATATACTTATCAAACTAAATGTGTTTAGGGGTAAAATAGTCTATCCATTAGTGGAAGAATCAAAATATACCTTGGAAAAATTAGCTCCTTTTGAAGATGGTGTTCTTTTTCATTTATTAATCAGGGTAGAGATAGAGATGTATTATACACACATATTTATTTATAAAATTTGAAATAAATAATAAATTTGTTAGAATACAAATTAGAAGTCCAAAAAATTAAAAGTGTGTTTTGAATTCAAATATATCATCAAATACACCACATTAATTGTGTTACTAGAGCATCCATTTGAATTCAAATATATTTGTAAATTAATAAACATTTAAATACAATGAATACTTTACATATATCATAGTAGACTCGTTAATTAATGGATTTGATTATTGATTAATCAAAAAATAAATATACCATATAATGACATGTGGCATTTAAATAATTGTAAAATCTCATAAAATGACACGTGGCAAAAGCTTTGAGAAAGTAACAAGTTGCAAAAAAAAAAAAAAAAAAAAAAAAAACATTCATTTTGTTAGAGAGAATTTTTTTTTAATTAATTACTAGGTGTGAGACATTCGTCCTACACGAATTTATTAAAAATAAAAGTTTAATATCAATGTATAAATATTAAATATTAAAAAAAAACTTTTATATAAATGTGAACGGTATAATGAATAAGCAAGTAATTCAATCTATATCAATAAAAAACTATTGACATATTTTAAATAATGATGTTAAAAATTAAGGTGTAAACATTAAATATTTTTTAAATTAACTTTCGAAATAAATACAAATTAAATAATTAATAAGCAGTTATTGAATATATACTGATAAAAAATATTATTGACATATTGTAAATAGTTATTATGAATCAAAATTTTCAAATACTTCTTTGAAGATGATGTTTTGTTTCTCATTTATTATGATAGAAATAGAGATGAATTATACATACATATTTATTTATAAAATTTGAATAAATAATAAATTTGTTGGAATTCAAATTAAAAGTTCAAAACAAATGTTTTGAATTCAAATATATCATCAAATACACCACATTAATTATGTCATTAAAGCATCTATTTGAATTCAAATATATTTATAATTAATAAATATTTAAATAGAATGAATACTTTACATATATAATAGTAGACTCATTAATTAGTGGGATTAATTATTGATTAATAAAAAAAATAAAGATACCACATAATGACATGTAAAATTTAAATAATTATAAAATCTCATATAATGACATGTTGCAAAAGATTTGAGAAAGTAAGAAGTGATAAAAAAAAAAAAAAAAAAAAAAAAACTTTATTTAATAGAGAACTATGTGTGAGACTCATATATTACATGAGTTTATTTAAAAAATAAATAAATATAAAATTCAAATATTTGAGAAGTTTGAATTTATAAGAAAAAATAAGAAAAATATTAAATTATAAAAATTACATTGTTTTTTTTTCTCTTTTAAATTTAAAGAAATGATTTAGATAAATAAATAAAGGAAATTAATGAAACTTTAATTTAGTAATTTTGAAATTAGAAGGAAAGTCTATTAATGAAATTGATATGCATTTATTATTAGATTTAAATAATATATGGAAATTAATAAAATAGAAAAACCATAAAATAACAAATAGAATAAAAATTAATTTAATTTAAGCATAAAATTACATTGTGGTAAATAAATAAGAATATGACATGTGGCAAAAAGATCTTTATCTATTAGAGTAGATTTCATTCTTTTAAGTTATAATATCTTTTGTTTTAATATAGGTTATGTTATTTTCTATTTTTATAATTATTCTTATTTTTATAATTTAGTTATGTATCTTTATTTGTGTGATTTAAAAAATCTATTAATTATTTTAACGTTTTGTTTGAAAACATTATTTAATGTTTTGTCCGAATAAAATTTTAGTGTTTTTCTATTCGTTGTATTCTTTAATATAAAAT